TGACACCTATGCTGGTCGTTTTGCCAATTTTTCTTTCTCCTTCGAATGATGAAGCCTGTATGCCGGGGGAAACGTATTAGTATATAATGATCTCTTAAAATTTAATTAATTTTTGAAAATCTCGTTACTTGGATTCTCATGCGCCGTATTGCTTTATGGTTATTGAGCCGGAAAATCAATGTCAAAGAAGGTGTTTGCCTTTAAATTCGGGCATAAGCAATTTCCTCGAAAGAGGCTCTTTGTATAATAACTAATTAAAAACCAAAACAAAGGAGCACAATTTAAAGGGTTCTTATAAACCAGGGCTCGTGATTAATTGGCGCGTAGCTTCGCAACCGACATGCGCGGCGCAGATGTATCGCGAGACGCCTTAAACGGATGAGAGCTTGGAAGAATGCTATCAAATTCTTTGCAAATCTTCTTCATATATCTAGCAAATAGCTTCATTAGTATGGTAACACACAACTCTACTCAGTGATATGTATGTCTGATAAAACATGCATAGCAGAATATCTGGGTTGACAACTAGCTTTTTTGCATTCAATCAACATCCTGTTTCGGTCCTGTTATGAAGAAATGAAGCTTACAGTGTAATTAACACTAAGCAAAAACAAGGTAAGGATATGCACCAGATCCTCTATAAAACATGTCTACAAACTGTTCAAGTGCGCATTTCCATTTGTATATACACCATACATATTTTCTGTAGGAACAGAAACCAGAGCTACTATCCATTTTCAAGAATTTAAGAACTTATTTAGCTAAAACCATGATTTCTTCATAACTATTGATTAATAATTTAATTTTGATTCAGGAAACAAGCTTGCACTAGTTTAGCAAGAATTGATAAAATGAATAGTAGACTGGATTTGTAAGTTAGTTTAAACTGGAATGAAGATGAACAGTTTTCATTTCTACATATTTCACAACAAAAATGAACAAACCTCTCTGATACCGCTTAGAAAATAAAGTTTCCAAAAAGGTTACTATATCCATATAATGAAGGAAAATGTGACAATACAAACCTTGCTAATGTTGCTTCAACAAACATGTCAGTGCAATATTTTACCAGATGCCAATTTGGTGGGAGTTTTGTAAATCTTTGCACACCAATATGAATTGGAAGTCCCTGAGGATGCATTCCTCATCAATCTCCAGAGATTTTGGTGCAGCTGTTATTGCAACTTGCTAGAAAAGTTCAATACTCTTTTTATAAAAACAGAGCGCATGGCACAAAATGTGAATTTTGAGATTCTGTTATAAAGACATAGTTACAAATAAATGCCAGTGACATAAAAATTTTAGAGCTTGTCGGAATAAGGGAATTCAATAATTCATGCAAATAGTCGTGGTACCCGCAGAGCATCACAAGGTTTGGAAAGATTGGGGTGAGTCATAGAGCGAGGTTGCAGAGGGGGTAAAATTAGGGGTCCACACACAAGTTTGACATATGCTCAGTGGGTAGGGCTCCTCTGGCTACAGTACCGAAGGGTCTGTGTTCAAGTATTGGCATGACCAAACTTCACCAGAGTGGCAGCTCTCTCGTAATTCAGGGTTGGGAATCATGAGATAATGGTTAATATCGAGAAGGAAAGTCAGAATTGTTCCGGTTAAAGCCATTGAACTTTCTCAAGTGTTCCTAAAACTACTCTCGGGGTGCTAAGTAGAAACAGAAATAACAAAAAGCTAAGAAACACATATGGAGATGCTTAGAAAAAACCCTTTTCAAGATATGTGTTCGCCATTAAGGGGTCTCAACGTGCACTCTTCGCCGGTCCACCCACTGATGCTTCGACTTGGGCACCGTAGACTGCCCGAGTCTCTATATTCATATCGCTGTGAGAGAGGACTATTTAACTTTTCGTCTGGGGATTCTTGACGAAGAGATGGGGGCATAAGATCCACAGGAGGGGAAAATACTCCTTTCTCAAGTACGAAATAGACTTAGAGCAAGTCTAGCTGGTACTTGATGACTAAGGCAGGGTATCAGGTTTAACTAAACCTTATGAAATTGAATATTAATCAAAAATTATAGCTAGGTTTAATCGGAATGTACATATGTAGAGAACCGTCGTTGAAAAGTCATACCTAAGTGTTGTACTATTTGCATCAAGAGCGCGTATCGTTTACACTCCTCATATTTAGTCGGAGGGTTTTGCTAAAGATGTGAAAATTCATTCAAGGTAATAAATGTCTATAATTCTAACATCACAACACTCCTCAATTTGACAAGTCACTAAGTTAAACAAATAATTTCATCAAAACCATTTTTATTCACACAAAACAACAGCAATAAATGCTGCATCACTAATTCTAGGAACCAACTTCAAAACTGCATTTAACAATGTAAGAATATGTCACCCTGGTAAAGAACAACAAGTTGTGGACGTAATATAAGAATGTGATATGTTTTTTAAGCAAAATAGAAGCTGTGCCTCTTGGGTAAAGTAACCACTACTCCTTTACCTTAACAAAGCCTGCTTGTGTCAATTTATATAAAACATGACCTCTCAATGAGTCATTGTAGAAATATTCGAGTCTGCAATGTCCAGGATCATATTTCGTGTAAGTGTTACACAAATGCACATAAGAACATCCCTACGTGGCAATCTTCACAGTTCCACCATTATGAAGATTGAACAATTGAAATGAAAAACTATAAAAATTTACTGGAAATGACTCAGAGAAGGAATATCAACTTATAGTAGATAACTAAACGAAAAGATTGAAAATCAAATTTATCACTTTGAATATACAGATCGAATTGGCAAAATATGAAGTTGTTAGGAATTGACAGTGTGTCCTGAGTGAAGTAAATCTATAAAGAAGAGTCGAGAGAATGAGCTAAAGACGGCGGCTAGGTGCAGTTATTTGAGTGTCGCAAGCTGTAACTTGACGACCAAGAAGAAGACAAAGCTGGCAAAGAAGGTTCTTCGTGTGTTACAAAACGAATGAGTGTCCGGCCTAATATGGTGTTCGAACATAAAATGAAAGAGTATATGTTCACCCTAGTGATAGCTTCACTCCCGGTAGGCTACAAAACTCAGAAAGATGATGTGACTAAAACTTCGTATTTTTGAAATGCTTCAATTTGTTCTAACTTCCCTTTCTTTCCAGCAAGAAATGGCACAGAAGTGCAAGTATTTTTGGCGTCGCTTGCCTCACTTGATAACGTATGTGGGTCACGAGACACAGGGTGATGTGTGTATGAATGGGATAAGGACAACAATAATGCGTCAGAAGTACAACCAAATTTAACAAATAGTCGTTTTTTAAATGAATCTTTATTGTTTGTACCAGATTTGGTGTGCAAGCAAAAAGAGAACTGATAACAACGCGTTGTTGGTTTTCGTCGCAAAAAGTATCCGAGGTAAAACTTTTTTGTCATCCAAGTTACTGTGGAAACGAAAAACACATGGATAAATACTTGTCATCTTTCGTGGTAAAAGGCAAGTCTTCGACTGACCCAGGGCTCTAGTGCTATCTGAAATAACAAAGGGGTACTGTGCCTACAACACGCTGCGAAAACAAAAGCAAAAGCAGAATGGGCTACTTAGTGGCAATTTAGTCATGGAGGGTCAGCCCGCTAGCACTACACTCTGACGGGTGAACCAACACTTTAAAATGATTGTGATCAATTTGCATAGCTTGTTGAGATTTCAAGAATAGAGAAGACAAAAGAATCCCAAGGAACGGCATAAAAAGTTGGTTGATAATGTGTAAGAAATTGGCCTATTTTAAATACTTTCGTAAGAATATATAATACAAGTTCGTTTCTAAACTATCAAATGACACGTTTTTGCATGGCATTTTAGTAGAGTATGTTTTTGCAGCGGAAAGCTATGTAATAATAATAGATAATAATATATATAAGCATTATATTGCTCGTGTTTTGCCCTGGAAAATGTCACTGTATGGTGTAGACTTTCGACTATATCACGTATGTCCACTATTCACGAGTGTCAAGCTGATAATTCAGAAGCTTGTTGTTATCATAAGTTTCCATGTTTCTTTAAACACGAGGGTAAATAGTTTCCGAACATAGTTCACGTCGTTTTTTTTCTCTGTATTTCATCTAAGCTTTGTATGGTACTTGAGCTGTTCGTTCTACTGTTTGGCAAATCGATTTTGTTGCCGAGGAGCAACATTTTTGCTAGAGGGGGAGGGTGCTCTAGAGATAGGCATTGAATCATTTTTATGGTGTTCTCCTTATTCTAATTCAGGGGCTCCGAATTTTAAGGGGGGGGGGGCGTGGTGTCCGGGGGGGGCCTTGGCCCCACTTTTTTTGCAAAGTATAAGGTTTTTTTCAATTTTTTGTCTTGGGTGGTTATAATTTTCCTTGCGCCCACTACTTGTACAACTTTTGTTCGGAGCCCATGTCTATTGTTTTTTAATGCTACAAATAGTAGAAACATTTTCTTTAGAGACAGGGTGGGACAACTCTCACACCATTGTCTTATTTCTTCTAGTGGTTATGGATACTTTATTATGATAGTTAAACGATCCACTAATGTGTGTGATACGGATCCTAAGTGAGTAGGAATATACGGTGATACTGTGGCAAAGTCTACGATATACGGTGAGATTGGACAGGCTAACAATATCAATTGCATATTAATGTTTTATCGTAAATGGCATGTGAATCCATTAGGTTGACACTTTCATAATACAAGCAATTATTCTTTAAAGCATTATTTCTTGCAAACAATAAAGGTTTTTAGTAGCAGTTTGCTTATTCTCTCAAGTAAAGATCCACGAGGAATGAAAACACCGGGTGCAGAAGGAAAGTAGCCTTAAGCAAATTGAGTCAGAATATTACATGAACTCGCTGCTGTGCATTGTCATATGCTCTATTTGTCCTTACCTGAAACACCTACTAGGTCAGAGAAGTGGAGGCGCACAGATCTCGATAACCATACAACAGTCAATATGAAATAATACACTAAAGCATATTTTTGGGGTGGAACGGGCAAGATGAGGAGTGTGGGTCATTTAGGGGAATGCTTGGAATTTTTTCTTGGAGCAACTGTGGTAAGCCGACTGTCAGATTGCTAATGTCGATAACTTTTTAAAGACTGGAGTATTATTGATAGCTGATGCCTATGTTTCGATTCTGGTGGGGGCGGGATGGCAGGGTGATGAACTCGCTCTAAAATGTGTCCTCGTTGAGAAGAGTTTCGAGGAGATAGTCGAGACAAAGTTTCTAAGGAGATTCATTTTCATTTCCATGTTCTATTTTTAGCATTAAGGTCAATTAAATAATTGCTACATCAAAAGATCGCTAATATTATCTTACACTCTTTTTTTTGTATAAGAATAGATTTTAAATATAGAACACAGACTCCTCAAAAATTGGTGCAAAAGTAAGATCAAATGTAATAACAGCTGAGTGCTGTACTTCTGTCAAAATGCAACTTTGTGAACAACATTTGGTTTTTCGTGCAAAATCGAAGATTTTTGGTCGATGTGTGGGTGCTTTTTTTGTCGAAGTATTTCAAATCTTTCTTCGACAATTGTCTCTTCAACATCTTTGTTTGGATAAAGTGGAGTGCCCTGAACACACTCACCTAGATAGCGAAAAAGCAGCAGCACTCGCCACTGTTACAGAACCTAAAGTTCAGAGTAAAAAACAAATTTAAGACAGTTTCCCAAGCTCTAGAATTTTCGAAAATAATTAAGAACTGTCAGCATGATACTTAATTTACTGGTTCTTAGTAAATAAAAAAGATGTTGAAGATAGAATTCTCAAAAACCGACTTTTTGCAGGATTAATGGCCAATTTCGCTAAGATCTTGGTGTAACAAAGAATATGCCGAAAATGCCAAGTGCGCCGCAGCACTATCAACTCTTTCCAGTTATCAGTCAGTGGGGAAATTCAGGCTTTCTATTTGGGGGGGGGGGGTGGGCCTCAGGGCCAGGCCAACGATTTTTTGACAAGATAACATCTTGGATCACACCTAATTTAAAAAAAATTATCACTGCACATTTTGATGACAATATGTGATTTTTGGGCGGGACTCTTAAGAAATGTTTGCTGACCACGCCCTTTAATTTAGTACTAGAAGAACAATCCATAAATGATTTTTAACGTCACGATTGATACCACAAATTGATGTCACAAATAAGTTATCACTGCACCTAGCTTTGTCTTAGTCAATTATCCGACGAAAGCCCGAATTTTCCGACGACAATGCTGTTTGGGAGGACCTGAGCCCCGCATGCCACCCACAATTCTGCCCATGATATCAGTACTATCAACTATTCAATATATCTAGTTTATAGGTTTGCCCTCAGCGCTGCCATGCCTGCGTCTTGGCTGGGTCAACCCCCATGCTTTGCATACTGGAAACCAGAAAATGTTCTTAAATTTCAAATTCAAAAGATCCTGACTTTTTGAGCAAATTCAAAACAAACAGTCTACTTTCGATATGTCACTGACACTGACGCTCTCGCTATTCTTAGCTCAGAGCATGAATGTGACTGTTTCTATTAAACAAATTAGTATTTTGAATCCAGCGCTTAAGATTACCACTGAAAAGCAACAAAAGAACTCCTTGAGTTTTCTAGATATTTTTTTGCAAAAAATGGACCTGGATTTCTTGGTTGTGTTTATAGAAAATTCCTTTATTGCACCAGGCACTGGGTCCAGAGCTTGACAAAATCAAAGAAATTATTTTGGATTATTGCTACCCTAAAGATATCATTTTGACCTGATTTAAGCAAAAATTCGCTAGTCTTAATGTGATGGAAAAGTTTGGTCCTGAAAAGTGCCATGTATATTCATTTTGAAAATTTTATCTCGTTACATTGGATTCTCGTCGTCGTATTACTTTGTTCCTGAATATCTCCCGTATTATTACTCATTGAAAGATTCACAGAATCCGGCGGACAGCCTATCCTGCGGTTCTTCCTTCTTACACATATCTAAAAATGCCTGGATATTTCAACTGAATTTGACAATTTATTAAATTATAATCTGGAAAAGCTATTAGTGCTGGTCCAACTGGCATTTTCGGATGATTTTTGCGCACCTGCTCCTGATTTGGGGGCTGTTGGTAAGTGGCGTAACGCACGGTGTGCACCTTTAAACACAAAACTAAGGGCCCCAAAACATTTGGGGCCTGAAGGGGCCCCTAAGAAGTTTCTCGAAAAAAATATGTTTGGATGTATGCATTTGTTTCTTAATAGTATTCACAGCAGCATTGAAATGAGCGTATGACTGTATTTTTTTTGTTGAGCAACCACGATATTACAGATATCTAAAATCGAATAGATTTCCTTAATGAAGCAGTTTGAAAATGTATATCTTCCAGTCTAGTGATGCTTTCAAATGCATCGGTCGATGTTCTTGCTTTCATTTCATGATGTCTTCAAATCCCAAGCGCGTTTATGAATCTTGTGCGAGCAAAGGGGCCGAAATGAAACGAAAGTCGAAGCAGCTACATCAAACACAAAGAAACCTTCGTTTTTAAAAAAAGCAAAGACCAAGATCTACCAAGCTTAAATCTTCCTACGTAGAAGTCACGAGAAAAGTCACCAGCTCTGTCTTTGATGAATCTTCTGAAACTCTTGAAAGGAACGATGAAGTGTGAATCAACCTTTAACTCAAGCAAAATCATGCCAGCTAGATCTTCCAAAATCTTATCCATCTGATCATGGTCACCTTTTTGAAGATGTGCTTGATGCTGATGTTGGGAAATTGATTTTGCAGCATGGGCCATGTCGAACAGGTGGTTCATTCGAGTGCATAAAGGAAGATGGATCTGTCTATACAAATTTTATTGCTAGATATTCTAATAAACACATTGAAACATTTCAGTTCTAAGGCTATGGCTCTATTATTCGATCCATGGAAACCTGGGAAAAGCTTAGATGAAGATCACGAGAAGTAACAAAGGCGGCAGAATTTCTCCTCGAATGTTGCATATTATTTCTTTGTCTTTTTCAGGAAAACGTCAAAGAGCGAGTACTCAGGCTCTAAAATTTGACTTAAATTTATGTAAGCAGAGGGGCCCCAAAACACTTCTTTAAGTAAGGGCCCCACACTGCTCCGTTACGCCACTGCTGTTGGTGCACGCAATATCTTATCAAAATCGGTTTTACTTTGCAAACTGACTTTTCTGTATGTAATGTATATATCTTATCCTTTCAGGAAGTAAATCAGATGCAATTCAAGTGAAATCCTTGGGTGTCAATCCCGATCCAATAGTAATTCCTGGAACTGTTAACGTCTCAGCGGATGTCATGGTTGCCGAAGACATTACTTCCCCATCTTCTGTGGCGCTTGTTATCGAGAAAAAGATCTTTGGATTCTATGTCAAAGTACCCTGTGTCGATAACTTGGGTTCGTGGTAAGTGAAACAGAATCTACCCAATAATGGGATCATTTTGATGATGATGATGATTTTAATGATAATGTTGGGGAGCCTGTGATGATTGAAATTGATCATGATCATGATTGAAAATGATAGTGATAGTTGGTAGTGATGCAGATAATGATCATTGATTGATGGTGATCAGTGATGATTACAGGTGATCGATGTTTATGATTAATATTCATAACAGACCCATTGTAATTTCAGCACTTATGAAAATCCATGCAGTCTGCTGCAGAATGTGACATGTCCAGAAATCTTCAAGCAGCATGGCATTAACTGCAGATGCCCTGTAAAGAAGAGCGAATACAAACTGCCACCATCTTCACTAACTCTGCCTGATATCAAACTCCCATCTTTCATCGAAAATGTAAGTTTTTACATCATGAAAGTTTAGAATTTCTTTTGTTCTTGAATTATCACATGGGCAGATTCCACTGGTCTACTGAAACGTTGACATTTGAAAAGAACGATACAACATGTAAGCCAATCAGGAGTGCCAAGGAAGGAATTTTGATACAACGATACAACATGTAATGGGCAGGGGGATTTTTGCCACTCCAACAAAGTCATTGAATTTTGTTCGGGATGAATGTTGGACTATATTATTAAATTTGTCGCAGTTTTTATTCATAAGAGTTTGGACAAGGATTCTGTTTTAACGTCACAATAACCTTGGTTGGATAAACAAACAAAAGTCCCTCACAAATATAATTATGGTGAAAATGGTGGAAATCGTGAAATTGTCCTTCAAATTCCATATGCAGTCTGTATGACCAGAGGATATGACCAATTAAAAGGGGCAACTGAACCGGCAAGGTTTTTGCATCAAACTATTTACGCCCGTGTATAATCAATCGTTGCTTTCATCAAAATTAAACTTTGTATGTCGACTGATTTTTCATTTTTATATTGTAAATGAACATACAACTTTTCTGCACAGGGCGATTACAAAATACAAGCAACTTTGATGAAAGGTTCAGCACGTCTTGGCTGTTATGAAATCAAAGCTTCATTGCAGACAAAAAGCCAAATACAAGTTTAGAGCAGAAAGAAAAACCTGTCC